GTTTATGGGTCCTCCTAAATACAGAGTTCCTGTTTGCTGAGCAAGGAGCAAGTATGAGTATTTGCATGGGGAGATCCTGTGTGCCAACTGTGGCAATTCCAGGACTGAGGAATCTTGTCACAGACATTCATGTCTTTGTTATTTCCTGCTTGATTAATATAATGCACTCTGCAGAGCAGGAGTCCCCAATCTTCGGGCTATAGCCCACTACCAGGCCTTGAGCCAATTGGAACCAAACTGCGGAAGTGGTGGGCAAGCACGTTCCCCTTTTGTGTGAGTAGACAAGCCTGTGAGAGACGGGCGCACTCACCCACCACACATGAATGGAGGGCATGCACCTGCGTTACCCACCACTTGCATGGAACCATCCCCTCCCCCCTCCCTTGCTGGTCCACGAAAGCAGAGGTTGGGGAATTCTATCATAGGGGGAAGGAATTTATTATTTTGTGAGAGCTATTATGATTTTTAGAGTTAATTACCTAGAGCAGGGGTGTCAAATTCAAGGCCTGGGGGACAGATCTGGCCCGCAGGGTGTTTAGATCTGGCCCATGGGGCTGCCCTGGAAACAGTGAAGGACCTGCCCACGGTGCCCCTCCCAAGCACCATTTCCAGCTGCGACAGCCTCCTGCAGCCCCTCTGCCAGCGAAAATGGAGCTCAGGAGGGTTGCACGTGGCCCGCCCAAGCTCCGTTTTTGGCTGCGATAGCCTCCTGCAACCCTCTGCCAGAAAAACAGAGCAGCCTTCCTGAACTCCATTTTCTCTGGCAGAGTGCTCGGCCCACCACAGGGCCCCCCGACACGAGTGATGTAAAGTGGCCACGCCCCCCAACCACCCAAGGTCAAACAGAACCCTGATGCGGCCCTCAATGAAATCAAGTTTGGCACCCCTGATCTTTAGGGATGGGATATAGAATGAATGGATAGATGGATGGATGGATGGATGGATGGAAGAATAGATGGATGAATACTGGACTATTGTTTGGGAAATTCTGTTGTTTAGTATCTGGATATTTTAATGTGTGATTCTATCTGTATGTTTCATACCAGATTGTTTTACTACATTGATCTTACTGTATTTTTTAAATTATCATCCCATCTGACTGTATTTAGGCTCAACAACAGGATGAAAAGTTTATTTACAAATAAATATTATGTTTGACTTTTTGATTTTAATCCGACCAAAAACCAGAGCAATTCACAGGCTACTACATCTCCCAAGAGCCTCAGCTAACCTGGCTATTGGTGAAGGAAATACTGTTCAGTAAGATTTGTGCATTAGATGAAATCTGACACCCTCTAAATAGGTAATATTTAGACCCTCGGTGGTGCAGTGCAGTACTACAGGCTACTTCTGTTGTGGCCAGTTGCCTGCAATTTGGCAGATCGAATCTCACCAGGCTCAAGGTTGACTCAGCCTTCCATCCTCCCGAGGTGGGTAAAATGAGGACCCAAATTGTTGGGGGCAAATATGCTGACTCTGTAAACTGCTTAGAGAGGGCTGCAAAGCACTATAAAGCGGTATATAAGTCTAAGTGCTATTGCTGTAATATTTCTACAGCAGCAGCCATACCTTTTCTGGTATCTTTTGGAACAGGTGATTGCGAGGGGTGGGTGGGTGTTAGGGTTTTTTTTTAAAAAATGATGTTTTTGAGTTTATTATAGCTTCATTCACTATTTTACTAATGATTTTAAAGAAGCAGAAAATTGAACTCAGGCAGGTAGGCGGTTGGCATACAATTTTAGCACCATAATCTTGAGGGGGTTGCAAAATAAACAAGTAATTCGAATCTAGGTGTTCATCTGACGGCAGATCTCTATCTGTATGTTTTCATTTTATACCTGCAAGTGAGACTGTTAACACTTCTTTAAATAAAAAGGTTAAATTTAGACTGTTAACTACCTGCCTTTCAAAAGCATGCATCTACAGTATACACCATGCGGATACACAATCTTCAGATTCTAAATGTATGCGTTGTATTTAAAATCCTACTTTATACATTTCCCAGCAGGGCAGAAATTCCGCAAAGCTCTTGTTGAAGAAGAGCGACGTGTTAAGCAGAGCAAGCTGTGCTCCTGGTGAGAGCAGAATGGCCTCATTGTAGCAAGTCAGGAAGTATCTTGGCCTGGGACAAGGGCGATTTGTGTAGGAACGACGTGGAGAGAACATTCAGGCCAAAGGGGGAATAAAAGGTATTACATAGCAGCTTTTTCGGTGGGAAAAGATGCTTCATGCCAGAAGTGTAGCTGAATGGAACACTGTGCACCAAGCAGAGACTGACTGAGAAAGGAGCACCCAATGAGAAGCAGACGATGTGCGAGGAAGCCACATCCGCCTTTGGTGGGACAGGCTCACCTGGTTGAGAACCTGCCCATTGAAAAGGCTTCACGGCACCTCTAAAAGCATGTGCAATAGATACGGACAATTTTCCCCTAGTAGATTTATAAGGCTGGCTAACTCAACACTGACTCTGAATAGCGTACTGACTAAGAAAACAGTTGCAACACTGAAAAGCAAGGACAAAAGAACGGGAATGATTACAAATGAATGGATGGAATGAAATGAAAGAAAAATAGGTGGTACTGGGTATCGGTGGAACTATGAGAGAAAAGTGATGAGTGTAAAGAGAACTGCACGAAGTGTCTGGCCTTAAGGAGTTGTTGAATGTATGGAGGGAAGTGAAGGTGTAGATTGAATTATGAATGTTAGAATATGTTATTTTATTTATTTACAGTATTTACTTACATCTGATGACTCTACAAGGTTTTCTAGAGATTTACAAAATACTGAAAAGACAATGCTTAAAACAATGTCTCACCCCAATGCAGCATCCATATTTTCCTAACCAATTCCATCCTTAAAAGTTCTGCAGATAAGCTATATTTTAACCCCATTATTAAGTACCATCAAGAATGGCACCACGTGGACCTCCATGGGTAAACTCTGTATTCCTTACTGTTGGCTTTCGCAGTTTTATTTTTATTATTTTTGTTTTTCATGTTGTAAGTCACCAAGAATCTGCAGACAACTGTGGTGCAATATAAATGTGGTATATAATTTAAACAAACTGTTCCACGGAGATGGAGCATAGACTGAAAACATTATGCGCTTTCCCATATGACCTCAACATCTGAAGCACGTTTAACATCTCATTTCTGGATAAACCACGTAAACAGATTGGTTTTATCTGTAGTATCACACAAGTGACCGGTCACTGGATGACCTCTCCTTTCCCTATCACCAAACTGAACTACTCACTCCAGACAGAATGTAACTGCTTCAAAACAGGGTCTCCTACTTCTCAACTCTGCTGGAAGTTGTTGTTGTAGACTATAGTAACAAAATCTTGAAAGCCTGTCCAAGTTTCTCTCTGTTTAGTAAACAAAATCAAGGCAGGATTACTTTGAGTTCCTTTCTAATACTTGCTTCAGTTTCTGAACTGTGTACTCTTTTCTCAAGTCCTTGCATACCTTCCCCAAGGTGATGCCTAATACAAGATCTGAATCCTGACTGAATGAGGTTCAGATAACTTCATTTAGGATGGTTTGTAGTTCCTGTCCCACCATTGCCCCCTTCTGCAGACACTGTTACATGAAACTGGTTTGTTAAGTAAGAAGTATCTGTTCTTCTACAAGTAAATAGTAAAACAAATTGATTAGAAATGCAGAACCGGAGTAACAAAATATGTAATGTATTCCACAAGGAAGAAGAAAAAAGGAAAACAAGGAATGCAAAAGAACAAAAGAAGAACTATGAATTAGTTCCATTGCTTTAATTGTGGGTTTCCCACACACGGACCAAGAGGTCAAACTGATCCTTCCCACAAGCATTTTTTTATGTAGCCGCTTGCTTTAATGTGTTGAAAGTTGTTGTAACAGTTGTATGTTTTGTCTGTCTGCTTTTGCACATGCAATTCTGAACTGGCTTCTTGCCATCCTCACGTCTACGCTGTTTCATAATCAGCTATAAAGATGCAGAGGGTTAAGAGACAATGCTCACTGTCGGAAATGAGCAGCCATGCCTTGACATGCATGATGACGCCCTAACATCATCTGGTGTTGAAGGATGTTCTGAGTCCTGTTTCAGGTGCACTTGGATGATCATGGGTTCTGTACATTAAATCTGTATGAAAATCTTTTAACACACCATGGATAAAATTGAAGCTATAATAAATCAATTGGCTGTTCTACATTACTGATTAAATTATTTTATTTTATCTCAACATTGTCCTCTTCTTAGAACTTATTCACCGCAGAGAAAACACCTATATGACAATGGAGAAGACATAACACAGTGTATCTTAGTGTACATGCAGATGTGCATGGATGGGTATTGACAGAGGTACAGAGAAGTTTTATTACACTACAGGTGGTCCTTGACTTACGATCACAGTTGGGAAGAGAATTTTTGTTGATCAGCAAGGCAACTGTTCAGTGAATTGCACCTGATTTCACAATCATTTTTGCCTCAGTTAAGTGAATCTGATTTTTCCCCATTCACTTTGCTTGCCGGAAGCTGGTGGGAAGGTCACAAATGGCAATCACGTAACTCTGGGATGCTGCAACTATTGTAAATACATGCTGGTTGCCAAACACCTGAATTTAGACCGTGTGACCAACAGTTGCTAAATGAATGGTTTTAAATTGAGGATGATCTGTACTGGTTTTATTTTGCATCGTATGTTTGTTCTAATAAAGAACTGAGAAGACAGACTGAGAAGAATTTGCCACACAATTGCTGTTTGATTGTCTGCAAGTCTTTTTCTACTACATCTTATTTACACCAGGTTCTGATATGCAAAACACCATTAAAATTACCACTGTAGTTATTAAATATTTCTGCCCCTCTAGTTTCTTGCTTTTACCTCTTCTGCATCTATAATTTCTTATTCCGTGTCATAGTGGAGTGGATTAGAAATGAAGTGCCTGATATTGAATTCTGGAGACGGACATATCTGGTGACCTAGTGCAAAACATCAACCTTTAAAAACATTACTAACTTACTTGTGCCTGTGCCAGTCCCAATCGTGTTGATAGTTGCAGGAACAGAGGACGAGGAATAGAGAGGGAGGTGGCCATTCTCACACCCCAGGTTTTTGTCTTGCCAGCTGGAGGCATTCACACATATGCCAGAGTCCCGAGAGCTCTGCCACCCGTTGAGTTTATCATCCGAGTTCTGTCTTTGGTGATAGTAATGTGACTGCCCATAATCCACCGAGTCAGACCGGCCTCTGTTTTGGCTGCCAAAGATACCCGATGTGCGGTCCTCCAAGTGGTTCAACCACATGGCAAGAGCACTCCTGTCCTCCATGGATGTGGCAGGATGGATCAAAGCATAGGACAGGAGTTGCCTGCTCTCCTCTATGTGTTGGTTATGTTCAATTGAGTGAGCCAGGATTTTGGGAAGTAGTTTCATGTACTCCACTTTTCCTTCAATATTCCCTGGCTTCAGCAAAGGCAGGTGGGTGAGCAACAGAGAAATCACTTTGTCCTTTGATTCTTGCTGCCACTGGTTAATGAATCGGGGGGGGGGGGGGGGAGAGGAAGGTGGGATAGAGAGGAAAGAGAAAGAGAGAGTTGTGAAATCAGGAAACAAACCTAAGAAGTAAATCCAGAGATTTTAAAAGGTTATGAATAACTTTTTGACATTAATCTGATCCATAATCAAAGCATTTTATTTTCTTCTACTGCAGTGAAAATTAAGATGCAAAATAAAAACAACAATAAAGCAGGATAATATTTAGATTGCATGCAAACTTTTCAATCACAAAGAACCTCCAAGCAAATTCAAGTGTGGTTGGGGAAGACGTTATGTTTGTTCTTGCAAATGAAATGTCCACCGTTGTTTCAAACAGGCTAGCATGCATACATATCATTCATACCAATTTGTAACTAGAATCATAACCCTACTTAGGATTCAACTTCTTTGAGTAGCTTCCTCTTATAAACATATCCTAAAACGGAACTAAGCCACTAAAATGGTTAACTTTCCTACTTGAGCTCATTGTCATACCCTTGTCGGAGTCTGATTCCGAGGGGGAGGCCAGGCAGCTGACAGAGAGTGGGAGTGTGACTCCATTGGCTGTGGAAGAAACTGGGGAAGGGCAAAGTCCGGCTGGGCAGAGCAGGGGAGAGGTAGAACAAGGCAGAGGGAATTGAGAGGCAGACTCAGGTCCCACCCCTTTTCATCCTTGGGCATGCAGGGAGGAATGGAGAAGGGAGCAATGTGAGTTGTATGGCTTATGGGGGAGGAAAAGGCCCTGATTCCCTTCATTAGCTGCAGCTGGGAACACAGTGTTTAAAAAGGGAAGCTACGCACAGCAAAGTTGTTGGAAGCAAATCGTGAGTTATCTGTTATTGTCGAGGCTTATCTGGGTTTCTGGCATCTTCCAACTGTGTGTGTTTTGTTGGTCTTTCAAGTCTGCAATTCCTTGTCCTGCCCTGTCAAGTTAATTACTGCAGCGTGGTTTGTGTGGATTTTTATTTACAGTTTGTATGAACTTTGTTTTCGGACTGAATTTCCTCCACTTAAAGACTGTTCTTGGGAGAGTTTTTTCTCCAGTCGAAGGTAACCTGAACATTGGGGGCAAAGTTGGAGGCATTAAAGGGACTCTTCTTACTTATGTGACTGTGTTGCCTTTGTGCCACGCCCCAGGTCATCACGCTTATATTGTTATTTTGTGGAACTGATCATTTGTGGGCATTTTTTCAATCATGAGAACTTGGGATCATGGAAGTTGCTATATGGAGAAAAGGCTGTGGTATGTGCCTGGTCAAATGCAGAAGATAGGGACTGATCATTTTATAATCCAGCTGCGGAAGACATTGCTATGCAATATGTATTTATCTTGCTGCAAGGTAAACATGTCACAGCAGGGGACACAAACATGTAACTTCACATCACATTGCAAATTGGTCTTCTTTAGTCCTGTTGTCTGGGAAATCCAGATGTGTTGGCACTAGATATGTGGGAGGCACCATATCTGGACTACATACATTATTTGTGCAAAGAACAGAGTACTAAAAGCACCTACCAGGTTGGCAAAAATGGCTATGCATGGCATTGTCCATTAACCTTAGGAAGGATCATAGTTCTATGGGGGGAAAGATCAGGCTCAACTGGGCACTATATAACCTTCAAAATAAAGCTTACAGTAGTTTTTGAGTTCAAGTGACAGGAATGCAGGACAGTTAAAATTTGTAATTTACCAAGAGGGGAGAGAAGGAGAAAAAGAAAACTGATTAATTTAAAATACAAAAATATGTTTAACAGAAAAGTAAAACGTCAACCATATGGTTACTCATTGCCTTATAAAAAGGTGCATTTATACAAAGTTTTTAATTTTTGCATTATATTTCTTTATTGAATTTCTAGAAAAGGTAAGATATAAAAAACAAAAAAGGAATTAAGAAGGAAAATTAGGGAAGGGGAGGTGGAAAGGGATAAGGAAATGAAAGAAATAAAAAGAGTAACTTCCAATTTTCTTCACAAATTTAAGATACATTTTAGATGCAAAATTAAATATTATACAGTAGTTCTATAATCACAAACAATTCAAATCTCAAAATTAATATAGCAGTTCTTTCAGCTACTAGCAAAAAAGTTTCCACAAATAAACAAAGTTACACAAAGTCTTTTCTTTAACCAAACTACCTGTAGTTAACTTCACCATCTCAGCGAGTTCCATTAACTTCACCATCCATTCTTCCATTGTGGGAATTTGTAAATCTTTTCATCTGCATTTATACAAAGATTGTTTGAAAACAATCATATTCTATTATTACACCCAAACACCTCAAGCGCCTGAGGCCGCTTTTCTATCTAAAGATAGCCCTATGGGGAGTTCCACTCAGTCCAGACAGGAAATCGTATCTGGAAATAAATCTGATTTTTAAAAAATGTGTAATTAATTGTTGGTGGCTAGCCTGATAAAGCTTGCCACTAATATTGAACTGTCAGGAAGACGTCCATTAGATAAGCAAGATATCATGGTATATTTCTAAAGTAGCAAAATGTATTTAATTATTATAAAACGCATCATTCTAAAGCATTAAAAAAATCAGTTATGAATCAAGGTATTTTGACAGTGAAGGCAGCAACCCAAACTGGAATGACTTACTCTTTAGAATTCCATTGAATAATATTTACTCTTACGTCTTAAAAAACCTGAAGAAGGGTAAAAGATTGACTCAACCACCTTTTCCTTTAATGGTTTAAATTAACTTTGTTGGGAATCCAATCAAATTTCCATTTCTGCTTTCTGAAGGCCATTCATGATTCTAGCTGCTATGTTGAGTGAGTCCTATCTGTCTATTCATTCTTCATTGCACATATGAAATATTGGGACTGTCTCAGGATGATATCCATCCCTATTTTGAAATCAGATGGTGCCAAGTGTGGCTCAGAGGATACAACCATATGCCTTTGCAAGGGATTCTACATTAAGTGGAGGTTTCCTGAAAGATACGTCATTATTAAAGAAAGAAAACAAAGTAGAGAAGTATGACATGAATTTCATTTCTTTGGCACATATGTGCCTGAAGTGTCTCAACCCACATAACCCTCTCTTATCATCTGCCACCTCCAAGTAACAAATGACTCAAACCCACCAAGGCAGCTTACGTTTCAAAGATGGACATTTATACAAAGCACAACTAGCTGAGAGAGAAAGAAGAACTTTTTGTGGCTAATCAGGAACTTTATTAAAAGGTAACCTTTAGACCAGTGGTCACCAACCAGTGGGCCAGGGACCGCTGATAGTCCATGAGAAAATTTTGGGGGTCCGCAAAGAAATGTCATCTCCAAAGCACCCCCCAAAGCAATTAATCCAGGCTGTGCAGGAACATAAGGCTGCGCCACCCACATGGCCCATGGGAACACAAGGCTTGCATCACTTGCACTGTGAACAACACGAGGTAGTGAGGGGAGGGGGGGAAAGGGGGAGGGGGGACTTGCCCCGCTCACCCCATGCGCCTGGCCTGGCCACCGGGCTGCTTCTTTTCACTTCTTTCTTCTTCTGCTTTTGGCTGCATGCAAGGAAAGCAGCAGTCTTTTTTCCTCTCCCCCAAACTCCACCAGAAATGAGTCTTTGGGACTCTGCAAGGCATCCTGCTTCAAGAGGCTGCGCCGGCGCGACAAGTCTCACAAAGACTCATTTCTGGTAGAGTTTGGTGGAGAGAAAAGAAGACTTCTGCTGCTTTCCTTGCATGAAGCCAAAAGTCTCTAAATAAATAATGATCTATCGGTAGGAAAATGGGGTGGGAAATTTCCCTGCAGACTTTTTTTTGGGATTTTCCCAGGGTCTCTGGTCCACTGGATTTAAAATTATGAGTTTGGTGTTCCCTAAAGTCCAAAAGGTTGGTGACCCCTGCTTTAGACAATTATTATTTATATGGAAAAGGGGAATGTTTTTGTATTACTGTTTTGGTTACAGCTCTTAGTATGTGAACACAATACTTTTCTGGATTAAATTGAAGGCAATTCCATCTAATATTTAGAAGAATGGGTAGACATCTTGTTTACCAATGCTTGCTAAGATACCAGTTCATAATGCTTTCCATCTCCTAGTCTTCATAAGGCAGCTGTGAAGTAGTCAGAAATTCCAGTTGGTCAAAAAAAAAAAAAAAATGGAACATTGTGAATGGGCAAATGGGTTTTCCATCATTGCTGCATATATTGTGTTATAAAATCTGTCCCAAGTATCAATTCTTTTACAGATCCAATTCAAGGCATTCGCTATGGTTAGCTGCTTGTTATGATTACTCTGATTAGACCAGTGTTACTTTGAAACTGCGTTACTTTGAAAAATGACTTGAAAATATGCGACAGACTGTTTAAAGATATTAAACAGTCTGTCTCATATTTTCAACTCATTTTTCCAGTTTCCTGTTACATTTAATATCAGCAACAAATTTGGCTTTTTCATAAAGCGTTTATAATGCTTTATCTTTGAAGTTTAAGCTGACTTCCTATAGTTTGTTCCTTCTGTTGCTGGATTTTGTAATTTTAATTGGTGGCTGAATTTTATTATTGCTAATTATTAACTTTTGTAGGATAGCTAAAATCATTTTCACTGGGTAGTGAAACTATACATAGATTAATAAATAAATGCCAAGGTCTAGTCAATCAGAACAGGAATCCTACTACACCTTGACTACCAAACACAATGAGGGATCATTAGTAAGTGGAGCCAAAAAAATGATGAAGGTGTACATTACACAACTTCAGCCTATCAATAGCATCTTTGTATGCCCCGATCTAAAGTTACGGTGTTCATCACATTGGAAGGCATAAGATGTAGAGCTTGGTGAATCAATTTGGTATATCATAGAATATGGTATGAGAGAGGTTGAAGTTATTTTGGAGATCCCCTAAACTCTGGCCACAGCAGAAATATATTGATATGGCTTCTCTAGCAGATAATCAACCAGCCTCTGTTTAAACATCTCTGAAGATGAGGTCATCACCCCCCAAGGCACTCTGTTTCATTGTGGAATAGCTCTTACAGGTAGGACATTTTTCC